GGTCTGGGTTCGGGCGAGTCGTATATCCCTGTCGTGTTCTTTGATCCTCTCCTGCATAGATATCCCTGTTTCCCCGATGTAGACTATGCCGCACTCACAGGGAATCCTGTAGACAACACCATCTTGTTTAGCCCCCTACATAAACCTACACATCTTACATCTCAATGATCCCCCACATATTCCTACACAGCCTACCTCTCATTAATCCCCTACATATACCCACACATCCTACATCTTATTTATCCCCCTACATAAACCTACACATCCTACATCTCAATAATCCCCCACATATTCCTACACAGCCTACATCTCAATAATCCCCCACATATTTCTACACAGCCTACATCTCAATAATCCCCCACATATGCCTACTCGATAATCCCCCAGATATACTGACACGTAACACGGCCACATGTAACGTCATTTAGGCATTATATGAATATTATTATAATATTACAGTTTAAAAGTTTGAAAATTTTGAATTATTCCTATGAAAAAGAGTTGCAAAAAGGGATAACTTTTAGTTTAGAGATGGCTTATGGCTTATTTCATAAGCTAAAAAAGAGCTTATCACTTGGGGTAAGTGCACAGGCCTGAAAATACAGCTGAGATTGTTAGTGTTTTTCTTAGAGTTGTACATCCCTGAAACGTGCAACCCACATGCTACTCTTTTTCCATGCAAATCTTCTCAAAGTTTGAAATCTTCAAACTAGAATAAAAAATTTCCATTATGGTCTCAAAGTTGGAAGTCTTGTAGATCATCAATATTTCCCTTCCTGTCATCTTCTTGATGTACACATATCGAGTCAACCAATTTTTTATGACTGATAGGGTAACATGACCTCCTGTAGCCATTAGAGCAAGATAACTGTGCATGTAGATACACCTGTAGATATAACGAAAATATCTTAATTGACCACTCCCCCAATTGGGCTTTTCAGGGCCAATGAAACCAAGTGATGAAACAAATAGTGCAAATGAACGTAACAAGATTAAAAATCCCACCTGGCAGGAGGCAGACCAGTTGGCTATTTCTAAGTGTGGCCGAGGAGTTGAACTACAGTCTACCAAGAAACAACTCCAGCTTAATGGTCAGAGTGGGACTTGAACCCGCCACCTCCAGACTTCAAGTCCAGCACCCTAACCACTCGGCCACACTGCCTCGTTAATAAATTGTTTATTTGTTCAGTCTAGAAACCACAGTGTCAAATGTCCACCACCTTTTTTTTTGGTTGACCGTCAATTCTACTGTCTAAATCTATTTTCAGGAAGCTATTGAATACTTGATGCCTTCTGGACTGTATGCTAAGGATTGTCGCCCTCTTTTAGAGGTAACTAATTAAATCACTTTGGCATTCAATATTTAGCTACTTGAAAAAATGGCAAATATGACTACATACATGTATATTAGGTTGACATTTCTGAGTGAATAGCGAACATGTTTGGCACATTCTGAGCATATGCAGGATTCTAGAGGTGGTTTATACCTTTTTCAAGAAACTCTTTTTAATAGTAAAACCTCTTTGGCTTAAGTAGTACAGGTTTAACAATTGCATTGGGTGTCTATAACTATTATGTTGGAACTCGGAACTTTGCATTTGAACACTTTGAGGAGGATGTGGACAAAACATGGGGTAGGTCATGGTGTAGACCATGATGCCTACCCTATGGCCTACCAGTGGTCAGATTTTTAAAAACATAAGCAAAACATCAGTAAGAGTCGAATGAGTAAGGTGGCATAAAATTATATCCCTTGTGGTTTCTTGTATCCCTCTAATAGGGGTATACTAAAAAAGTCACAAACACTAACACTAACGCTAACAGTTACTAACGCCGTTCATTGCATGTTTACACTAGCACTCCCCTATATGTTACAAAAACATCAAAATCATCATTGATTTTCTCATCTTTAAAACATACAAGTCAAGTACTTGTGATGATACAAAAAGTTTCATTTCGAATCACCAAGTGACCATGACTACATCGCGTTTACTTAACCTCGTACAAAGTCTGTTGTTGATAGGTTGTAAGTGTATATAGTTATGAACATGTACATGAGTTTGCTGTTGTTCAACATTTGATTTACCACTTGTTTGGTCATCTCCTCTACCTTTCAGGACCCTAGGAAGATTTATAGACAGACAGTAGGTAGGTAATCCACCTCACACAAAGTAGCAATTAGGGCCCAGTTGTTGTTACAGCGGATAAACACTATCCAACTTGTAAATCACTATCCAGTGGATGGCATAGTACATTTATGTGTTTAGTAAATCTTTTAATATCCATTGGATAGCAATTTATCCAGTAGAACATCGAAACAACTGGGGCCTAGCCTGCGTAGCAAGCAAACCTGTTCAAGTGGAATGTGAAAAAGCTCTTTTGCGTGGCGCAACTTCATTCAGCTTGTATGGGAACGCTTGCTATGCAGGCTAACTGGGGCTTTATGTACATAATTACACTTGTTCAATTTGTGTACGAGCAGTCCAAAGAATTGTTCTTACTGATTTAGTTTTTCACCAACCAATAACTTCTGATCTTTACACACTTTGTTGTCAGTACTTCCATGAGTTTCATCCTAGGTATATACAATGGTACCCCTACCTGTGGAATTAAACATCAAAGGGAGCCTTGAAAATGAGAGAGTGCATCTGAGACTTGGTCCTTCTGGGAGAGCACCCAGTCAATATCTAAAACGTTTTCAATTACTGTCTTTCTGTCATGGTAGTGCTACATCAGGGGTTTCTTGAATGGGTTAGGCACTGGTTTAGTTGCCGACCTAGCTTAGTTGCCAACCTGGCTTGGCCATCTTTAGGAAATATTTTCTTACACCATCAGCTTTCTCAAAGCAGACACCTCTGTATGGTGGACGTGACTGCCTCATTGATCAACTAAATTTCTCTTATTTCTCTATGACGGGACTCTGTTCAGCAGAGCCACTTCTGAGGGAGTCCACCTGGCAAAGAATTCACTGTAAAGAAGTTTAGTTCAAAAAGATTTTCTTGCCTGTTAAAAGCAATGTTGCTTCACTGTTGGAGAATTTAATGAAACCCTTGGTTACATGAAGTTTAACTTTGCCTGAGAATCTGTTATTCAGTGGATTTCTGTACTTTGTACATATAGGTTATGCTAAAGCTATGGATAAGAATGGGCGTCCACTAGCCTCAGCTTTCTACTCAGGCCAAGTTGGATTCCACGACACATTGTTTGTAAGTATCTACAGTACTTTTATTCTGTAATTTTTTCATTTCCAAGGATGGCAAAGTTCAGGATTTGAAAAATATCATAAATTTCTATGTAAAATGTTATCCAAAATTAACGGTGCCAGTGACACGTAACTGAGAACTACTCAGTATGACAGATTATAATTTTATCCTTAGGATATTGGTTGTTTGTACAGTTTACATGTTTGTCCTTAAACAGCATAATAAATAGTGCGACATCATGAAAGTACTGCTACTGATCTATAGCTTTCCTTTATGATGGTCACACAAAAAGATCTATCTAAAGTCGTAAAAGTCATGTCCGAGTTAATGCGTGCAGTGGCTTTTGACAGTGCGAGTAAAATACTTCTTAGTTCATTTCTACAAAGCACAGACCAGACGTACTGAATCACATGCACAGTCACTCCTTCACTTTGTTGATAATTCATCCATCCATCCAGTCAGTTTGGTATTTAGTCACTTGATAATGCATTCATTATGAACTTTCAAAACTCATGCACAATTTAAATTTTAAGCTCCACTCTTTCTCTTTGTATATTTATTTCTACAAACAGTGTATGTAATAAGCATTTATCAAATACGTTTGACAGGAAATTTATGAACAAGCTGCAAAGTTAGATGCCAGTGATGGAGACAGATTCCTTGAAGCAGTTCAGACAAGTAAGAGTGAAACAGGTGGAGAGGAACTGGACATAGACGACAGTGAAAGGTAAGATACACACAATTCTGTCCTCTCCATTTCTGACTTTTAGCATTTTTATGTTCATTTTGTTGTTGGTTCTTGTCCTTGCTCCAAGAGTTTATCTCTGGGTTCTCCTACTTTCCTCCCTTTGCAAACACCGGCGAGCCAAATTCTAATAATAACACTTGTATTTCATTAATGTATTTTCAGTAATTTATTTTCAGTAATGTATTTTTGTTCTTCGCATCTACTTTGACATGGTGGTAACCAGCTCGAAAGCTAATGGTTGCTCTGGTTACCATGTACATATCTTTGTTATTGTCTGCATAGCCATATGTAACAATTATTTCTTTTCCCATCTGATGTAAATGTTAAAATTCAGTAAATACATGTAGTACACAGTAAAAAAATTGATTGATTGATTAACGAGTTCATCAGAGCTCTTTCATGTTTCCTGTGTAAATAAAACTACACCTTCACCTTCACCTTCACCTTCACCTTCACCTTCACCTTCACCTTCACCTTCACCTTACTCCTTGTGCCGGAGTGGCGCACAAGGCCTCAAATAAAAATTACAGCTACATTTAAATTAAATATCCAATCTTGTCATCGCTTTTCACGGAGGTGTCAGAAATCTCTATAACTGTTGGTAAGAGTAATATTTCTTTTTTTTTAATAATTCTAAGAAATCATTAATTAGCTAATCAGGTGTTTCAAAAGTGTTTCAAGTGAAAGGTTCAACGAACATGTAGTATGTACCATTAATAACAAAACAAAGTTTTATACTTGAAGTTCGTTGAACTTGTTTTCATGTGCTGTAAAGCTGAGTCTAGTAACACTGGGTCTGTGTTATTTTTTTCTGTTTGATATTTTTAGCGTCGAAGTGAAGAGTCGGCCAAAGATGAGGTGGATTACAAAAGAAGAGCTTGAAAGAGATTTGAACGAATTGTTGCCAGACAAAGATGTATGTGGTCCTATTATGCTCCATATTCCCAGAAAAATCTATTTCGTTCGTTCATTCTCTCGTTCGGTTGTCTGTTTACTCGTTCGTTCGTTCGTTCGTTCGTTCGTTCGTTCGTTCGTCTATTGTATAAACCCGTTCATCTGTTATTCGTTCTTTTCTACGTGCTTTTCTTCTTGCTCGTCTGCGTGCGACCGTTCTTCGTCTCATTGTTAGACAGCCCATTCGCCACTTTCAACTTATATGAACAGGTATAAGAGCGAATGTTTACCAAGGGTTTTTCAAGTCTAAATATATCCACCCTAAATGGCAATGTCCTGGTGTGCAAAGTAGTTCTTGGGTTTTGACTTTTGGAAGTCATGTTCATGATAGTCCACTTATGNAGAAATCATTAATTAGCTAATCAGGTGTTTCAAAAGTGTTTCAAGTAAAAGCTTAAGGTTCAACGAACATGTAGTATGTACCATTAATAACAAAACAAAGCTTTATACTTATATACTTATCTAGTAACACTGAGTCTGTGTTATTTTTTTCTGTTTGATATTTTTAGCGTCGAAGTGAAGAGTCAGCCGAAGATGAGGTGGATTACAAAAGAAGAGCTTCAAAGAGATTTGAACGAATTGTTGCCAGACAAAGATGTATGTGGTCCTATTATGCTCCATACTCCCATAAAAATCTATTTCGTTCGTTCATTCTCTCGTTCGGTTGTCTGTTTACTCGTTCACTCGTTCCCTCGTTCGTTCGTTCGTTCGTTTGTTCGTTTGTTCGTTCACTCGTTCCCTCGTTCGTTCGTTCGTTCGTTCGTCTATTGTATAAACCCGTTCATCTGTTTTCCGTTCTTTTCTACGCGCTTTTCTTCTTACTCGTCTGCGTGCGAGCGTTCTTCGTCTCATTGTTAGACAGCCCATTCGCCACTTTCTACTTATATGAACAGGTATAAGAGCAAATGTTTACCAAGGGTTTTTCAAGTCTAAATATATCCACCCTAAATGGCAATGTCCTGGTGTGCAAAGTAGTTCTTGGGTTTTGACTTTTGGAAGTCATGTTCATGATAGTCCACTTATGAAGAGCTCTCCCTCCTAAGTTTTCTCTGTGTCCAATGTTGCCTCATGCAGTGTGGAATACAGACTTCTCGTTTCCAGCCGTCACGCTACTAATGGTACTCTGAATTATCTTATTACAGTATGAAGTCATTGTTCATCGGCTGAAGAAACTAGCCAAACACCGAAATGCACTTCTAGCTACTCCTTTTTTGCTTCGATTCTTACGTGAAATTCCATTACCAGGAATGGAAGATGTAGAAAAGAAGGTAGGTTCACATTATAGGAAATAAGCACGCATCTATGCGTTCTGGTTATCATATGGTTTTCTTGTTGAATAATGGAAATCACTTCAGTCGTTTTTGGCGTAAACCATCGTCTTTCAAACATGAACTAAATTTAGCATTTTTATGAATCCAGCTCTTATATTCCTGATCGGAAGATTTTGCAAGATTGTTTGAAGTGATGTAAAAGTCTCTGGTGATCTTGTGGTACGATGTTGTGCAAGTCTGATCGATGCGCGCTCTATGTTCTTGTGTTTCTCGTGTAATCGCCGTTTCGTCATTTTTTAACAGCTAAATGAGAAAGGAGAGGCTTTCGGAGAGGGTAAGTCAAGCTATTTAACTTCTGTCTTTTATTTTTGAGCGCATCACTTGGCTCACAAACTCAACCAATTCAATCGCCGATGTGACAATTACGTGCAAAACAAAAGCCAATCGAGATTGTACTGACGCAACTTTCCCGCACTTGTCAGCCATTGGCTGTAAGTTTTCCCGCGGCAAGTTTATTTGTTTTCCCTTGTTTCCCCGTGCTTTACATCGGTTGGTTTATTTGTTTTCCCGCGCTTTTCATCGGTTGGTTTATTTATTTTCCTGCACTTGTCAGTGGTTACATGTTTTTCCGCCCTTATTTGTTACTTACTTACTATCTAGACAAAATTTCTTGCGTCGTCCTTGGCGTCACCCTATTCTCTTCGCCCTATTCTCCCTATTCTTGGCGTCGTCCCTATTCTCTTTGTGGCTGCACTTGTAGTTATTACTTCTTAAAGTCCGTAATGTTTTTTTTTTCTGTATACTTTAGGCGAACGTAAAAGGGCCATCGCGAAAGTTACGGTCAAGAGAGGGTCAGGAAACGTAACCGTAAACGATGTTCCCTTCACTAAGTATTTCGGCAGAATGGAAGATAGGTATGGTATGAATCTCTAACAATTCTACGCTCTGGTCTGAAAACTCCCAATTCCCTGCTCCGTATGAGATTTGACCCCAAAAATTCCATTGTGGTAACGCACTCTAGAGAGATTACTTTAGTATCTCTGATTGGTATTTCTTTCGGCCAGTCACTATACGGATCTCTTTAGCGCTACGTCATCGGTGGTCAAATACCAGTCCGACCTAGACTCCTCTCCAGTGTAGAAAGAATTCAGCACGTGAAGAGGGAGAAGTGTGTTTGCGTTTAGACTCCAGTTTGTGACAGATGGTCCTCTTTGTTGGTTTTAAAAATATCAAGGTTGTATTTTTGATTTTTTTTCGTCTACTTTTACCAGCTTACAAAGATGCAAGTGTTGTTCTTTTCGTACCAGTAAGGCATTTTATTGTTTGCCTCTTCCCTCGTCACGATTGGAATTTTTTATATATAGGAGTCGATGACTTGGAACTTGTCTGATTTCATTAATTTCCTTTTCGTTAATGTTCTAGGAAGCAAATCATGTGTCCATTCCTCACTGTTGGTGCAGTTGGTGAATATGATGTGAAAAGTGAGGTTATTGGTGGAGGACATTCGGGTAGGAGGCTCTCATTCTAGAAAGACAATGCCACAATATCCATGCGTTAGAGTTTCCTGCGGAGTTCATGGCTGTTTCATCGTAATTGACCCGGAGATGCCCACGAAATTGCTTTCCTCTAGCTTTCCTCTAGGGCTCACTCTAGCCAGCCAGCGGTTCATGTTTGGGTCACATGCGCACTACAAAGCCTCGAGTATGAGTGAAGACTTGAGTACGAGAGATCGAATGACACGAGTCGGCAGTCGTCGGCAGGGCGATCCTAGCTCGTTAACGTGACCCAACGTGAGCCTGCACGCAGGCTGGCTTGTGAAGCGATTGAATGGAGCAAGTACATTGGGTAACTAGAAACGACTGTAGTAAAATCCTCTTTGTTGTGCCTGTATTCCAAGAATTTTCAGTCGTTAGCGGGACTGCAATAACCTGGGACAACTCCGAAAGCGAGTTGATCAGCTTGTGAACATGAATATGAACATGAACATTTGTGCGTTGTACTGAAAAGCAAGAAATTCTGATTCTAATACTGAACGGTCCGAGAGAAGTGGCCTCCTCCTCTGTAACCATCGTTAGATTAAGGAATGAACCAAATAACCTTAGTTGTTGGCGTGATTGTGAAAACCGATTGGTTCGACAATACGAAATTCTACAACTATTACAAAAATCGAAACGAAGACGAAGCGACTAAACGTACTATTTTTAGTCCAAACTCTGCGACTGCTGAACGACAACTAGCTAACCAACACGACCGATTCGAATATTAATTAGTTAAGACTTAAATTCAAGCATGCAGTGTTTTGTTAACCCGTCCCAACGGACGGCATTAGTGTTAATGAACAAGCGTTAGCCGGAACACCGATATTAGTTACACGTGATTTATTGATTTACTTAAATGCATCACATGTGTAATGCGTTATTTGCGGTTTTTTACTGGTCTTAGGTCAGGCTGGTGCTATTAGGCTTGCTATCAGTCGTGCGTTGCTAAATTTTGAGGACAGCTACTTGGAACCTCTTCAAAAAGGTTTGACAGAGTATTGATGTAGAAGCTTTGTAGATAACGATCTTTGACACATAATCGATACGAGCTGCGAAAGCTAGCGTTAGTGGCTCAGTTTGCTCTCTCTCTAAACAAATAGAAATCAATGTCTATAACACAAAGGCTACTGGGGCCGAGCAGTTGTAAGTTCCTGTCAGAAACAAATAATTCAGCGTAAACACAACAAGGTTGTTAACCCGGAAGTAAGCCAGTTGGCTATTTACAAGCGTGGCCGAGAGTTGGACTCGAGTCTATCGTCAAACATCTCCAGCTTAGTGGTCAGAGTGGGACTTAACCCGCAACTTCCGAACTTTAAGTCCAGCGCTCTAACCACTTGGCCACGCTGCCTTCTCGCTTCCGCTACTACGCGTGAGTTGTTGGAATTTTACCATCACGCGACTGCGCAGTATTAGCCTGTTTGTGACTGACGTTAAACGATATTTGTTAGATTCGTTTTCCTCTTGTTTTTCAGCTCGGTTGTTAATACGAGATTACCGAGTCAGGGAGAGAAAGAAGCCTGGGCAGAAGAGAGCCAGAAAGAAGTTTGCCTGGTAACACACCAATTTTTTATTGCCACTCACACTACTTAGAAATACAATGCAGTTACTCACACTACTTGCAATTCTTCTTATATAATACGATTTCTTACGCCACTTATCATACTAAGCCTCCCTACTTACATTACTTACAAAACAATACAATTACTTACGCTACTTACAATATTAATACTTATACTCACTCACACACTCACTCATCCTCATCGGGCTTATGAGGACTCTTGAGGCCAGACATACTTATACTGCTTACAATATAATTTTATTGATTCACATTACTTCCAATTTACTAATACTCACGGCACTACTTACAATACGATTACGTACGCCACACATTTAAAGATAGAAAAATGATAAAAAAAGAAACGTTACGAAAACTTGGCGATGAATTTCGAGACACTTTTTTCGAGTCTCATTCAGGGCCTGGCATCAGGCAAGTTGACCAGCTGTCAGGATGGAAAGTTTTTCTTATAAAGAAGTTCAGCTAAAAAAGTTTTGTCCTCCTGAGGGCCGAGTTGTTCAGAGCTCGGTTAAGCTAACCCAGGGCCAGGATTAGCAAGAATTTTGATATCAGTTTTGTAACTTTTCGGTGAGGTTTTCTGTTGATATTGTTTGTCCTCTCGTTTTGAGCTTGTGCAAGCCCAAACTACACACAGCATTAGCAGTGAAAAACATTGTTATACAAGAAAATTAATACTTCGGTTAACTTTTAATTCTGGGTTAGCGTTGACCGGCTCTCGAACAACCCAGCCCAGCTCAAACGTTATTGAAACCCCTGAATCATTACGGCCAATCACAGTGCACGTGGTAACTGAGAGATATAACAAACTGTAAGATTGCGAAGGCTAAGGACAATTGCGAATAATTATTATCAACTATAAGCCATGTTTAATGACATTTTGCCGTGTTTCAACTTTCAGGGTTAGACGATGAAGAGCTTTGCTTTGTGACGTGAAGAGTACTGTTCGGGCGCCCTCTCCACACCAATTAATGAGTGAAAAATGAAACAAAGCAGAGACATGCGTGAAGAAATATACCCTCAAGCCTCGCCGGCCAGCAATGTCTCGCAAAATCCGATTTTACGTCCCACATGCTGTAAAGCTGTAAACTTGCAAGGAAGCCGGCCCCGTTTTGAAACTGAAGCAAATGTCCAATTGATCATAACTGTAAATACTAGGTTTTATTTTGAAGATATTTTGCAAAGTTAGGGTACATATTTAAATAAATCGTTAAAGAATTTATAGATTGTTCCACTTTATTTCACCATAACTGCCTGTGAGTGACCGTAGTTGTCATCATAGGAGTTTCCGGAACTCCCAATGGTTTTCGGCGTTTCCAAGCAACTGTCGATCAGCTTGGTTCCCAGGCGATCTCTACCCTCCCAGAAGAGCGTGAATTACTCGTAAAGGCACTGGAACTCGGCTTCGAATTATCCTATTTCAGAGGTCGGTTCAGGTTTCAGTGTTTAAGATTTTTAAACAGGAGCCTTTAAATTAATAAATGACGTGTAAAGACTAAGAAATTGAATTGAATGAATAGGCGTATCCCTCAACCAAATCCCATGACCTCTTATCACTGATCAGAATGAAAATGACGACTGAAATTGCCGCCAAGTCGTGTGTGTGGACAGTGTCTGAATAGTTGAATTATTTGAGTATCCCACGGTTCTGGTAATAACTGGCAATTAGCTGTAAATGTATAACATTTTTCGGTACAAAATACGGTCATAGGACTCAAAACGAAGTGGGTCATCCCAAAATTTCACCAGCTACCAAACCATATATAATTATAATGACAATAATTAACATAAATAATTATAATGACAATAATACTCTTCCCTTTCCCATCCGTCCCACAGAAAAAATAACAACAACAACAACAACCAAAAACTGAAAAAAATATTTGCATTTTCTTGTTTGACTTTCACGCCAACGAAACTTTTTATTTCAGGCAGTTGACGCTGCCATAATAGTTGTGAATTTCATTTATCAGTGATCTTCAATAAAAGTGCGAAGATCTAGATCTGCCTAGAGCGTTGTCAGAGGAACAAATCGTTCGTCTACTCCTCTTTGCTGCTACATCTGTCATTTGCTATCTGTCAAATCACGTTCCAATGTCGCTTTTCCCTTCAAATGTGGGAAGGGCGGTGTTGAAGTCCCGCTTCCGCCTCCGCCTCCGCCTCCGCCTCCGCCTCCGCATCCACCCTCGCCCTCCCAACATTTGAAGAGGAGAGAGAGCCTGGGGGCGAGGCTGCATTTGAAGGCCGGGAAGAGGAGGCAGTCTTGTAATTCCAGGCGCGTCCGGTTACAGTGGGGCACGGCGGATGAAAAAATAGCCTTTTTTCTAGTCACAGTATTTTTTCCTGTTCTTCACATCCACAGACGTTGCACCTCACATCACATGTAGAACTATGTAGTCTCGACTCTGCTTCTGTGGCAAGATTGTATGACAAGCAAAATTTGTACGTACGAGATTTGGTAACGATGTTCTCCAGCTGTTCTACTCTCTTTCATTTCTAGACTCCTACCTGACTAGAGATGGATACATCGGCGTGAAAACGTAAGAGGTTTGATCAAGGGAGTAAGCTGCAAAATGAATGGAAAATCAGAATAGAGACAAAAGTGTAAAGGTATTTTGGGAATGAGGAAGACTTCCTTCCTTTCGTCTCCACCTGTCTTCCGGAACACGGAAACTGGCAGAAGTCCAGGTGCGCTTCAAAAAACACAGTAATAAGACATCGTCGAACTATTATTTTTGGGCTCGTCCCCTAAAACTTGTTGGTCACGTGTCTTGTTGTGATGCTTGATCACGTGGTCAGATTAAAGGTGGCCATCTTGATTTTCCGTGTTGGCGAAAGAGGCATTTCGAACCCCTTGTTTACTTTAATTTTCCATTACTTATCAAGGGTTTTTGGCCTCTTATTTGCAAAAATGTCTGTAGTTGATAAGTTGGACGCCGCAAGACACTCAATAACGGGCTCTTATGTGGCCAAAGTGGTTTGCAAAGCTTCTAGTCGCGAAGTTATGGGACCAAAAAGGAAGCACTTAGATTGTAAGTTAACTGACTGGAAAGAAAAGCCTCTGAGACATTGTTTGGCGGAGTTAATGATCCTCTCGTCGATTTATTTTGCTCTCCAGATCTCACATCGTGCACACACCATGACAATGTGTCTATACCGAACTTGGCGGATTTAATTTTCGAGCGGTGTACAAATTCAAGCTGGGTTGTAGTTTTCAAAGCTGAGAGCACTTTCCATCACTTGATGTCTTACGGAAATGAGGTGAGTGTTGTCATGTTCGTGGCTGGATATTTTCACTGTTCTAGTGGCCCTACAACTGTAATTAGCCACCTGCCTGGGGATGTACCAGTTTTGCAAGGGATCGAGTGAAATTTGTGTTTGTACCAGTATCCAATGTCACCTTCTAAAACAGACTGGCTTGGGTGTTGTTATCTTGTATAAACATGTCAGCATTATAATTTGTCAAGAGTTCGATAAATAACGTAAAATTGAATTTTTTAGCCATTGATATGCCGATTTTTTTTGTCGAGTCAAGCTTGTAACTTTAGTTTACAAGATGTATTTAAGCGAGATGACGACTTCATCGAGAAAATTAAATGATAGGTGTCCGTATGATTTCGCTTTTCGGTAGTTGAAGTTTTAGCTTGTCATACGAAATATCGTGTAGCGTTAAATAGCCTGTTTGCGATATATTGTCAGTTTTAGGTACGATCATTGTTTTAAATAGGCAGGAAAGAAGTTGACTTTATTTGTCATACGCTCAGTAAGATGGAAGAGTTTGTATGTGTTTCCATCTTCTAAAATACGTGCACAGCACAATAGCAATTACGGTCAGTTCTCGATGATCGTTTCGCAAATGTTACAAGTTTATCGATCATCCACTTCGTTGCTTTCAAACCAACTTTTAAGTCAGTTTGACCTTGTGTTGGTTTTCTTGGATCATGATCAGTGTATATCATCCTTTTGACGAAAGTTTATCGCCTTTTTTCCATGAAAAATTCCGAAATACGTACCTGTATTGGTATCACCTCCCGTACATAATTAACATACATCTCACTGCATGGCCGTCCGGCCTCTATTAATGACATTAATTCAACACCTAAAGGTGTCGTAAAACCCATGTTATGATGTATGTAGTGGATGTTTCCTGAATAAGAAACATTTTGGATTTTTTTTTTAAATGTATGTGACAGGTTTTTTTGCCTCATGGAATCTACATGAGATCCTGATATGGAATTAAAAAATAGAAATTGGCCATCACTTTATCTTCATCACATTTCAGCTCTCTGAAACAGAACATTCACTTTCAGTTAAGTCAGAAAATGGGTGAGGTGGAGACTTGGGACTAGCAGGCTGTGACGATAGGTCAGCATATCTTTTGGGAATTGCCGCAATTTTAAAGGAGCAGATCACTCCAAAAAATGAATATTTTTTGTCAACACTAATAAAAACCTTGCACTAAGTTTAGCCACTCACCGAAGTGTCAGCCTCTAAAGTGCAGGTTTTCCTTATGAAATTCGTCTCAAAGGAAGCCCAAAATTCGAACATCATTGTTGCCATTTTAAACAGTACTCAGCAACCAGGTGTTTTGTGACGTCATTCTGTCTGAGAGATTTTGTCCAAATGGATTCCGAAAAGCCTTTTAACTACCACTCTGGGTTATGGCTGCTCTTGAGCCATATTATTTTGAGCCAAACATGCTCCAAACTCCGAAAGGATAGCATTGAAGATAGTTAAGTGAATAATCGTGGGGAAAAATAGATTTTGCTGACCTTGTGAGGGATGCCAAGTCAGTGGGCAGGTTTTTCTCCTTCCCGCCAATTTTGAGTGAGACGGAATGATGCCATGTAAACATGGCCTGGCTACCAAGACAGTTTAAAAATGGCGGCCTCTGAAGTCACTTCTTCCGAGACAAATTTCTTCAAGATAGCGAGCACTTCAGAGGCTGAAACTCAGGTGAGCGGAAAAGCTGAATGTTTACTTGCTATAGGCAAAGACAAAAAAAGTAAGCTTTTTGGAGTGACCTTCTCCTTAAACCAAAATTGAACTAAGCGAGTGTGTCTAATTTCTGTTATATTTTTCTTACATTTTTTGTTTTTGTTTTTGTTTGATTCAAAAGATACATTGATATTCTGAATCGTTCTTGAAAAGTTCTTGAATAGTCCTTGAGAAAAAGGTCTTATGTCTTCATGAACCATGCTGTAGTGACTCAAGATAGCCTAATATTGTTGACTTAAATTCTTTTAAAAAGGCTTTCTCACCACCGCCTACACATACATGTTAACCACTTGTAATCACAATACTCTCTCTAGTAACACAGATCACAGTTGGACTGTAACGTGAAATAATACAACCAGGTTAAGCTTGTATCATCTGCATTGTACATGTATTTTACCAGACAGGTTGGTTAAGTGAAGCACATTTAACATCACAGTGAGTTTTTTTAAAGCTGACATTTTAAGTGTTATTGTTTCTTCGGCTATTGTTGTTGAAATTTCAGCTCTCTGTGACAGTTACAGTACTTTATGTTTATCAACATCAACTGATACATGTAACGTAAATTAGCTGTAAGCATAGCAGCACTGAAGACTTTCTATTCTGTTGTGTTGTGTAGAGATTTATACAGTACATGGCATCAAGAACATCAAACTTCAGTCTTGGCAACTTTCTCGACAAAAGTGGTGTTCAAGGTATGTACATGTACATGAGATCTATAGACCTCTGGGCTAGTCCATTAACACTGACCAGCTGTTATTGGAAACCCCTTAAAATATGTTTAAAGAACATTAGGTTTAGGTATTGCTTCATCTGTTTTCACTCTGTTATTGTTTGGATCATTGCCTGTGTTCAAAGTTTTACTGTTGTTTCAAGGTTATGACATGTCAACATTTGTGAGGAGATATGGAAAATATTTGAATGAGAAGGCTTCCTCGTACACAGAAATGGGATATGACTTCTGCCGACTCAAAAGAGGGTAAGCTACATTTGTTTACGACATGGCCATCTTTATGTAAATCCATTTTCAGAAGCAGTAGTCAAGTTTTCAAGTACAACGTGTTGCTGATTTTGCCATCTTTTTCTAAAGAATCAGATGAATAACATAGAGAGTAGTCGGCTGAGACCATCAAGTACTGAATAGATGGTGATTTCTGCCAGCAGCTGGCTGCTTGGTGAACATATAATTATGTGCAAGTGTGGCAGACTGTTCTTGACAATCAACTTTAGTAAGCTTCAAATACTGCCTCCCTGGCTCAAACAAATTTCCATAGCAGTATATTGTTGTTTATTTTTGTACTTCCAGGAAGGAGGAGGGTGTTTTAAGAACCATGGATGCTCCTAAAGTGAGTTCCTTTTAAAGCAGTTCCGTAAACAGAGTCACTGGTAATACCTGTACACTGTTACAGCCATATCAACAACAACTACTTTGTTGATTATTTAACTCTAAGATATTAGCTTTATGTACATGAAGCTACTCTTAAATTTGAGTTTTAAATAAAGTTTATGGATGTAGGTAACACCATCTCAGTACAAACTGTCATGGCAGTTATAGTATATTTAAGTTCAGGACAGGTTGTTAATTAAACAGTAAGGTAACTCTTGCAATAATTTGTTTTTAATAAGACTGGAGGTCAAATGGACTGTCAGATTTTCCAGTTAGCTTCCAGTCTTGTTATATGTAATTGTAGGGCAGGAGAGGTGAAGGAAGAATTTACAAAATCATGTGAATATAAATCCTCAAACGATGACAAGAATTCATACTCTAGCTGTTGTGTTTTGCATTCATCCATTTGATTCATCAAAATTCAAATCTGCTGTAATTTTTGTGATGTATATATGATAATTTTTGCTGCATCTCAATGATACATGTGCATGTATGTGGCCATGTCAAAATCAATTTTTATTACTTTAAATAGTCTCTAACAAATTTGTTTGATCCAGCACTCCATCAGTGTAACTTTAGTTCCTCTTTCTGTTTTTAAACAGCTCCTCAAAGCTCTCCCAGTCCTTCAGCAACAGATTGATGCCTTGCTTGAAGTGGATGTATGTGATCTCTTTAATGGTGTTTGACATTCTTTCATGAGGTGTCTCTTTCTCAAGTACTGCTACTTGACATTGTCTTGTTCCTTGTGTACCATTTCTTGACAAGGAAATTTGGTCTATACTCAATCTTTTTAAAGAACTAGGAATAGTATATTTTTTGCTAGGCTTACATGTGCAACAATGGAAAGAAAGAAGAAATAAATAAAATGACCATTAAGTTCCTGGGAAAGCCTAGCTACAAAGTAAAAGCCACCACATTAGTAATATCAGGACTGTGCTCTTGAAGCACCTGGGTGCCACAGGTGTCTAGCTTTGACTTTGGGCGACTGGAAAAACTCATTTTTTTCATATAAGCTTAAGTGCTGGGCACCCAGAATTTCGTGGTTCGGAACCTTTGGGCTCCTCAAAATTTTTCTTAGACCGCAGCCTTGAATATACAAATGGTGTGTGAAATTATCCACAATAAAAATGGGCAGTGCAGATCTGTAGACTTCCATCTACATTATAATTGCCATCTTTGATCTGTATCAATTCTGTAACATGAAGGTATTTAAAATTCTTCTTAAAAACTTGAGTGGCTTTTTTAAGACTCATCTGCATTATATTTTCAGATTAAATCAAGCGAATTGACTAATGGTGTGATAAACAGTGTATTTGTACTCTTATTCAAGGTATTTAATGCATACATGTTATAATATTTACCAAATCTTGAATATCCTGTGGGTTGAGAAAATATCGTAATGTGTCAGTGGTGAACAGATCAATTATTTGCCAAACCCAAGGGCTGAGGCAAATATCTAACAAGACGCTGACATATTGCAATATTTTATGATAACCGAGTTCAATAACCGACTAGTTTGTTTTCTAAATTTAAATCACTCTCTGACAACACAGGGAAGCCATCTGCCATTTTTCACACAAAAGTATGAGCAGAATATTATATGTGGCAATACATTTGAGCAGACCATTATTTGTAGGCAGTTGTTACTGTATTTGCAGGTCACATGGTGGGCTCTTNGGTAGTTTAAAACTTTGTTTTTTTCTCTCTCAAGGCACCTAACAGCCTCTTGGATGCCCTAGAAAACCACATGCAATCACTGGAGAAAGGAAAGACTACAACCAATCCACCAGCATCGAAGTAAGTGCATCCTGTAAGTGGTAACAGTAGTCTTTCCACTAGATTTTGTTCCAAAGACTGATTGATTTAAGAAATAAAGTGAAACAGTTTCCTGTGTTTCTATCAAGTTATAAAAACACAAGTGGAAGTTTGTGAGAATCAGAAATGCTGTATAGATTTTTTTACTGCTTTTTTGAGTTGGCCCAAACTTTTCTGAGTGTTTCATAACTTGATAGAAATGCAGAGAAAAACTCTGGTAAAAAAAAAAATTATGAGAAACAGAAAATGAAATCACTTGAAGTTGAATTTGCTTAAAATTACATGTTAATTGCCTTTGCTTGCACTATCATTACATCACTAAAAGAGTTCAAGATAGCCATAAAGAACATGAACCTTTAGTATTATTAGCGTTCTTATTATGTATTGTAATACTTTAATTGATTTATGAATTTTTCTTTCTCGAAGATATTAGTTTAATAGAGCTACTCTGATAATTAGGACTACATGCTGTCCAATTTGGAAATAATTGGATGAAAAAAATTTTGAGGACAGCCAAAATTGGGCGAGGCCATAGGCCGAGTTCAATTTGGCAGTCCGAGGATTTTTTTGAATCCAATTATTTCCAAATTGGACAAGCATGTAGTCCTATTACCTATTAATTATATAGGATCCAAAAAACAGATGAACAAGGCAAATATTTTATCCTCTAAAGTACAGTATTTCTCACTTCGCTTTGCTCAGCATGTCACAGGTCAAACACTTTGACACAGGTTTTTTGCTTCTTTGAGTGTCCTTGTTCTGATTATTCTCCCTCATCTCAAGTAAATCAGTAGCATCTATCTTTGGAAACCTAGCTGAAGACTCCATTTGAAAGTTTAGATGTCAAAAAGGTGGAGAGAAAAGTCGGGAAATTCCGCCATTAACATAAGAAAACTTAGCGAGCTACAATTGCTCGGTGACGTTTGATGGCAGTGATAATAGCTACAATCTGATTGGCCAATACTCAGTTCTTTTATTTATCTTGACATTTCATTGGTTGATGGAAAGTATCCAGATTTTTCTCAAATTGGACAGTTTGTTCGAAGCTAAACTAAACATTCGAGCAAAAACTATCCAATTTATTTTAAATTTGGACAGTTTGCAAAAATTAAGAAAAAATAGGTCTGTTGGCAATGTTGGATTTCGATGGAGCTATATAGTTAGAGTTGAAATGTATGAAGTCTATGTACATATGTATGTATCAACAGTTCCTGCAAGTTCTGTGTCTCTCTTAAGTTATAGATTTAAGTGCAGTCTTTAGTGTTCACTTTTCTTTCAGCAAGGCTGAGGTTTGAGATTTTCCCAGAACGACCTCTTGGTCACTCTTGGTCAATAAGTAGCTAAGAATATTTATTTAGAGACTCGATAAGAGCTGTACACCTTATTGTGGCAGTGACATGCCAATGGAAGCCATGTGACGGTATTTGCAGTGGAGTTTCTGTAGTTGATTAGTAACTGAATCTTTGGACATCAGTAACAAGTATTTTGTTGACATGCAGGCCCCTGACAATTCCAAGCATCACTCTCCCGCCATCTGCTACAGATGCTTTCAGTGCTGGCAAATTCACGACAAAGTTTGAGGGAAGTGATTCTGTTGACACTGCTCCGAAAAGTGATCTTCTTGAAGAGGAGGAAAAATATCTTGAAGCTTTCAAGGTAATATTAAGAGTTTGTCGGGTCATTCTTGTGAACAAAACAACCTGCTTGATCTGTGAAGGAAGTGTGAATGCAAAAACAAGCAATTTGGTAGATAGGAGTGTTGGTTTTGTTTTTATATACTCTTGCTATTATGGACAGTAACTAGAAAGAAATGTATGGAAACAACTCTCACTGTTATGGAATTACCCCGGGGGACTCCCATATGGAATGGACGGGGATGCTTGTCGTCTCGCTTGGGGGTGTAAATTTCGGATTTTGGTCTCGCTTAGGGTGTTGTGG